ATAGTGTTAGAGAACTCTCGTAGAAGTTGTTCAAAAGTGGCGAGAAAGTTGTAAGTAATATGAGTTGTGTCTTGCTTATCTATAGTGTATATAAACACTAATTTGCAAAGCTAGAGTATCAAGAACTATAGTGTGCTGAATTTTCTTTATAATTAATTTGTAAACAGTACTCAAATTTGCTTGTTTTTTGTTTTTACTATGATTTACAGATTTACAAGAAAGAGTTTATCAGTATTAGATTTATATAGTTTAAAACCATGTTTGCAATATAGATATTTATACTTTAATTTAATTGATAATCCGCCAGTCAACAGAAGAATAAACATAGTATAACGTAATGCAAATCACTATATAAATCCAATATAGTGTAAATCTAAAAAATTTCTACTGTTCATCCAAAGAAAATATTTTTTTGTACTAAGTTAATCGATTTTGCAAATTAATTAAAAGTTGTAGAGCTCGTCTTTGCGGTTCTAATGGTAGTTAAATCATCAAAATCAGCTTAGTAGATGCCGAGATATCTTTAAAAAACGCATCAACAACTATGTAAACAATATATTGGTTACATAGAGATTTTATATAGTCGTTGATGCGTTTTTTAACGATATCTCGGCATCTACTGAGCCGATTTTGATGTTTAACTACCATTAGAACTGCAAAGATGAGCTCTACAACTTTAATTAATTTACAAAATCGATTAACTTAGTACAAAAAAATGTTTTCTTTGGACGAACAGTAAAATTTTTCAGATTCACACTATATTGGATTTACATAGTGATTTGCATCACGTTACACTATGTTTATTCTTCTGGTGACTGGCGGATTATCAATTAAAAAAGAATGATCTCAAAAGAAATCTTAATAAAAAATATTGATACTCTACAAAATGACAAACCTAAAGCAAACTGCTTTAAATATGAAAAACTAGGACATTTTGCCAAGAATTGCTACTCAAACACTAAAAAAGACTCCTTTAATAATGTAAACAATTGGAAACTTAAAAAGAAAAGATTTTGCTCACAATGTGAAAAACCATATCCAAAACATTACCCAGGATGTACTCGAAATAATGGAACACATATGAATGGAAAGAAAGTAGAAAGAAGAACAGTACCAATAGAAATAGAAAGATTCAAGAAAAGAAACTTCTAAAAGAAACCTTACAACAAAGGAAAAGGAAAACCATAAAAGAGAAATTCACTAAAAAGGAATCCTGTCATTACGAAAGAAATGAAGAAAAAAGTGAAGTAAAATACTATTCAAAATCTAAAGAAGAAACTGAAGAATCAGATAATGAAGAAGTTATAACTGCAAATAATCTTTATAAAACCATTTAGAGAAAGTTAATTCTTTTGAATAGGGGACTTGCCTAGTGTCCGAGAGAAAACCCCAAAGAAACTTTCTAAAGGCTACACTAGAAAGAACATAAATACTATTAGTATTACCAAAATACAAAATATTAATAATATCAAATGTATTAAATCTAAAATACTTAATAAAGATCCTATTATTTACCAAAAGTATCAAAAGTTCTCTGCCAAATCTACAAACAAAGAAATGATTAAGAAAGCATTTGAACAAAATGAGTACAACTATTTTCTTAAAATATACAAATTTCCAAAGAAAGCTAAATGGCAAAATCTTAAACCAAAAGGAAAGAAACAATACCAATTTATAGTACTACTAAATAACAAACTAATACTAGTACTACTAAATGAAGGAGCAAGTACAAATGTTATCAGATCGGACATGGCAAAAGAATTAGGATTACTAGAGAAAATAGATATTACAAAGAAATCAACTGCTATTCTACCAGGAGAACAAACAATAGAAAATCTTGGACAAGTAAAAGCAATATTCCAAGTGGAAGATATAAAAGCAATACTTAAAATATCAATTCTTGAAGGAGACCAAGCTTATATGCTCTTATCAGAAGTAGATCAAGATAAATTAAATATCTCAAAAGATAGAAATAATAAAATAGCTTGAATAAATGGGAAACCAATATTGTATCAATATATTTCCCCAAACCAATCACAAGGGTTATCAGTGTTAAATCTTAACTCTGTTCCAGAAAATCTCTCTTGCATCTTGAAAAAAGAAGAGTCTACCCCAGTATCACATAACAATAATACAAGCACACCCACAACTGTCGCATCTAGTCACCTCACTCAAAAGGCTAGGGATACACCCCTCAAAAGCAAGAAAAAACCTTGTGATGACACCCAATGTGGTCTGGAAAACAAACCTCCAACTACTAGCAAGCTACACACATTGGCCACATCTCTCGCTAATGCTCGAAATAGCATCTAATGTGGTATGCAAGATAAATTCGAGCTCAGATTAGACAAAAAATCTACTGGGTCGACTAAAGAGAACAAAAAGAAAGCCTCCAAAGATACTAAAATAAGCAAGAAAATATTAAAAGAATATTTACATGCTATTAAAAAAATATCTACAATGAAAATCTAAAGAGAATATCAGAAAATTATCAACAGGAAACTCTAATACTAACCAAATTAATTGGGTAACTAAAAAGTACAAACCCAAAGAAAACCAAAAGTTTATTAGAAGTATATTAACTCAAACTTTTGAAGAACAAGTTAAAGAATTAAAATGACAAGTTTCTTTGAACAAACAACGAAAAAAACTTATAGGAGTAACAACAGATAGAATATAGACAGAAATAGTATCTATAACAGTATTAACACAATCAAATTTTCTTCAGATATTCTTAAAATATCAAGAATCAGAAGATACTCCAAAATATGAGGCATTGAAAATGGCAATACATGATAAAAAAACAAATAGAGACATAATAGAAGGAAATAGAAATATAGGATTAAAAATGGTACTACATATGACACTTGGACTATATATTAATGATTAACTATATAGAGACAATAAAGTAAACTGGAAAATAAAAAGAATTATAGAAAAATGTGCACGTGCAGAGGAAATGAATATAAGATGGGCAGTCCTACATTTAGAAACAAAAGATAAACGACAACGAACAAATGTGATCTATAATATCAACTATATATTAAAAAAAATACAACCAATAAAGATAGAAATCTTATTAGAAAACAGTGCATCTAACAACTGTTTTGGTGCAACAGTTGCTGACCTTATAGATATATTGGATAGTATAAAACAAGAATTTAAGATTTAAAGATAAGAAAAAAGAAAGAAAGCAAATAGGAATTTGCTTTGATACTCAGCATTTCTATGCTACAGGATGTGGAAAAATGGTACATGAATTTAGAAATGTACTATATATGTACAGACAAGAGATAATGTTAATACATATTAACAATAGTCCACCAGAATGTACATTTGGAACAGGAATGGATAAGCATATATACTTAATGGATCCAACCAGCACCATATCACAAGAAGTCTATCAAATGATAGCTTAGCACAAAGAGGTCTGTACAATGATATTAGAAACACTAAGTTTAGAAAAGCAAGATCAATTGGCACAAATACAGGAATTACAAAAACTTAGAGAATATGCAAATGATCTATTAGAAGAAGATCAAAAAAGAGAACAATGGTCTAATGCAATTGACCAACAAGAAAATTTAGGAAATATGATGCCTACTATAGGAACAGGTATAGGTTTGGAATAACTTATGAAGAACCAGAAATAGTAGATTTAGCAGAACAATTAGCAAGAATAACACTAGGACCAGCAAATGAAGAACCACAAGGACAAGATCAAAG